GAATGGAAGCGATATAGAAGGTTGAACTCTGCCGAGACCTGGTTTCCCACACCTCGAGGAACCCCATCAGCGTCAAATGCTCGGCTCACGGCCACACGAGGGTCTAGAGTCCAGTCACTCGCCGAATGGTGAGTGTTGGTCAGTCCGCGGAGGTAGTCATGGAGTGAGATGTTGACGTAGAGCCCGTTTACGATGCTATCCCGGAGTTAGTTTATTTCTCTGTCATGAAAAAAATATGGAATGTTGACTCACAGACGAGTCACCTGGAATAGATCTTCGTCTTGCTTGGCCAGTGCCTTCCGCTTTGCGTCCTCAGATGTCGTTGGCGGTAGAGTGAAGCGCCCATTTTCGTTAATCTTCAGCAGAACATCGGCCACATAGTTGTGGAAACGATTGTACATGACAAGGATCACGTTGACACCAGGGGGCTGACCCAACAGCCTCTTCTCGTGGAAGGTGTCAGGCTTGAGCATGCCGCGTTCCATAGTGCGCACCCTCAATTGGTCTTCATAGCTGGAACCATATAGAGGTGCGAGATCCAGATATGATGAGGTGTCTGAGATATTGGGGTCGCGCCGGTTCGTGCAGAAGACATCTACATGTTTTTAGCGCAAGGGCTTGACAGAGTATCAGACTTGTATAGTAAACTTACCGTGAATGATAATGCTCGCGTGATAGAACAGAACCGACGAGATGCCTGCAGGGTTTTCCCGGAAAGTCCCTTCATCACGGGCCATGAGGACTGAAACTAAGCTTTAGAATTATACTGTCTAGACTCGAGACTCGAGACTCACGATCAAAAAGAAGGCCAGGGTCAGGCTGCACTCCGTGCAAAGCCTTGAGGCGGGGCACCGATCTCGCATACGGACTGCCTGCTTTGCCAAGGTCAGGCTCTAAAGGGTTCTATAGTATTGGAGTCAAATAGGTCAGTGATATTTTCGTATTTCGGGCGACAGGTTGGGAGATTAGTCTCACGTTGTAACTTCCATCGGGAGTGCGATATTGATACTTATTTCCAAAGTACGACAGCGGGGGGTGCTCCAAGCTCTGCCAGAGCTGGTCGACCAGGATGCCGGTTAACCTCTGTCGGGACTTGGAGGTTCGCGGCAACATTGCAACGATGGCGATGACTTTCTCCATCTACAGCGGCCAATCCTCATCAGCAATGGCACTTTTAATGTGGACACAGATGGAAGCCGACTCACAAGCATTTGACGATCATCGATCGGTTTTCCCTTAGACTTCACTAATTGGATCAGTGTACGAAGATCATTTCTCTTGCCCTTGAGTCCTAGAGCCGAGAGATCTTTGACAAGGCCCGTGGCAAGAACATCGGGATCTCCATATGACTCTCCAGCTTGGTATTTCACGTCATCTTCCACTTCTGCTAGCTCTTGTGCATGGAAGATCCTCGCATATAGTCGTTGCCAGAGCCCCTCTCCCGTTCCAGCAATGCTAGACAGAGCTGCTTTTGTGGCCTTTGGAAGGAAACGAGGCCTCAACTTCCATGTCGTGTGTTTATGGGAAGAGAAAACCTTGGAAACTATCTGAAAAGGGCGTGTCGGTTCATCTGCAAAGACCCGCAGGTAGAGAAAAGAAAGGAGGCAGAGGAGAAGAGCAATAAAAATGGAGCTCATAATTCAGGAAGGCGAGGTAAGGCGAGGTACAGTTTTAGCCGTTAGTTGTATTGAAGAGAGCAATCTATCGCGATGCTTCTGCAACACATTATGAGATCTGTGCCCGAATACTTATACACGAGGAATATCTATTAAGAATCAGCATGCTGTGAAAACTGGGCCACCAATGCCAGCTGAAAGAGGACCCCTCGTCCCCAGCGCTTGGGGTAGCTGAGATCCTGGAGACCATACGGGGAATACCGAGCAGACAAACACCTATCGATCTGCGGACACAGCCCAGCTGAAAGCATGAGATTCGGTCTGGCCCCGTGCTCAGAGCTGTCATTGCGACAGTCTGCAGATTTCGCCAGCCACCTGTCGCTTGATTGGTGGCAGAGACGGCACATATGCAGAGCAAAGGGTAGATAACCCCTCAGGTGGTCGTGCTTGAGGAGAAAATTCAGCCAGCCACTATGCAGGAGAGTAACAATGAGAGGGGTTTATCAGACAGTGTGGTTTTCAGCTGGCAAGATCAGCATATTGACAAACCAATCATTAGTATGAAGAAGGGGTCGGACCGCGACGGGACACAGACCTCATGCCGCGGCACAATCGTCATGAAAGCTGATCCAATGATAGATGCTGGATTGCATCTCGGCAGTTCTTACCTCACGAACACCCCCACAAGCGGTTCGTGTTGAAATCCTCCCCGCGGCCCGTCATGATCGGCGCTGGGCATCATGATTGTGGTCCCCGAAGGTGCTGCTGTCCGGACGGTTGCGTTTACCTTGATAAAGCTGGGTATGAGGCATGTCCCGTAATGTGCCATCTCTGAGTTCATTCTCTCTAGAACTCATCTATCTTTTTGATTGCTGATTTTCCCATTTGTACCTGTTTTCTTCGTTGTTCCACTTGGCCAGGATTTCTCCAAACGATGCCACACTCAACAGTGGATCAGACGTCCAGCGTGGAAGCGCCCTATTCTGGTCCCCGAAAACTGGTACTCTGCCTCGATGGCACTGGCAATCAATTTATGGGGTTTGAGCGCGACTCAAATATCGTCAAAATATACCAGATGCTCGAAAAGAACACGCCCGGCCAATTTCATTATTACCAGCGTAAGTTATATGGGAACTGGGGTTAGCCATAAAATGTATGATTCACTGAGCTTACACATTGGCCAGCCGGTATTGGCACCTACGTCGAAGGTCAATCGTCCAGCTCCGGATTGCTTCGGTATCCGCGAAAACTGCAGTCGCATATCATAACCACCATCGATCAAGGAGTGGGAACAACATTTGAAAGCCATGTCCTCGCAGCATATCGCTTTATCATGCGATACTACTCCCCAGGTGATCATATCTATATCTTTGGATTCTCGCGGGGAGCATACACCGCGCGATTCCTAGCGGAGATGATACATGAACTTGGTCTTCTTTCCCAAGGCAACGAAGAGATGATCCACTTTGCCTGGGAAACATTCAGCAATTTCCAACAAGCGCGAGGAAAGACCGATCGTACTGCGAAGGATGAGGCATTGATCTCATACATGAAGAAATTCAATACCACCTTCTGCCGCCCGCAAGTTCAGATCCATTTTCTCGGATTATTCGACTGCGTGAACAGTGTCGGCCAATTCGAGATCCCCTTCCATCGGAAGTCGCACCAATATCTCGTCAGTCCGGCGGCTCGCCACATCCGACATGCTGTATCGATTCATGAACGTAGACTCAAGTTCAAGCCTGCCCTGGTGCTGCTTGAGAAGACCAAGCCAGTGGATCTGAAGGAAGTCTGGTTTGCAGGGAACCATGGTGACGTGGGAGGGGGCTGGAGTCTCGCTCCCGGACAGTTCCACCTCTTGTCTGATACACCGTTGAATTGGATGCTGCAGGAGGTTCTTCATCTGGAAAAGTCGGAGAGCAAGTTATCGTTCCACACGCTCAATGTTGCAGACGTAGTGGAAAGGGAGAATGCCTTTCCTGGGAAGGAGGAGCCAGGAACCACAGCGTATGACGTGCGGAAGCGCACGAATCAGCCACATGACATGCTCATGTTCAATCGAGGAGCGACTTTCCTCATGGTAATCTTCTGGTGGATCCTCGGTATGCATGCCTCTCTTCCTTCCTTCCCAAAGAATCCCACTTCAGCTCTGCTGCGCACTTATCGCTCATTGATGACCCAATTAAACTGACTCTCATAGAAATCCTCCCCCTCTTTACACGCCTCGAACTCGAACACGGCAAATGGGTCCCCCGGCAATGGCCACCCAACATGGGTGCGCCTCGCGATATCCCCGAAGACGCTGTCATCCATCCGAGTGTGCATGAAATGGTCCGGGCGGGCATTCTGGATCCGAAGTCAATTCCACCGCGCGGGGGGAATAACTCTCACCTGCCCTCCACTGCTCGGATTACTGGCGCATGGAAAGCGATGAGGAAAAGCCAGGGGAAGCAAATCTCCTCGCTGTTGCAGAATAAAAAGCCTGTAGGCGCGCTGAGGAAGGAATTCGACGGGAAGGCTGAGTGAGGAGTATCTAGTTGGCAGGTAGAGGCTGCACAGGTGGACGGTGCTGAGTAGATGGTCGATATCGTTTAGGGGTAATTAATCGATGATGGTGGTGCCATGTGCTGTTGACCTCGAACAGCTCGCTACTGAATTACATTGAAGGCAAGTACGCACGCATTTGGTATATGAAAAACAGGAAATAAAACCCCCATAAAGCGCCAGTTATAAATGTACACTTGCCGCATTTGGCGACAAGGTGATTAGATAGTTATCAAAAAGACACTTATTGAGACGGTCCCACACTAATTAATCAGCAGTAACCAAGCAAAGTGGGAGTGGGGTGGCTCGGCCCGAGGTCACCATGGAGACTTGAACCCTCCCCCCCAATCACATACTGAAAAAATACAAATTTACAACGGTGTAAATGTGGCAATTTCTCAAATCACTCTCTATGTGTTGTTAACTTGTTACAGACAAGCAAGTAAGTTAGTCGGGTCAGTCCAGTAGTGGGGCAAAGCTAAGCGATAAAGACAAGGAAGGTGAGGCGGGCATGGATGCTACTGATGATCCCTAAAGGACCTGAAGTAATGGCCAATTCTGGCAACTTCGTTTAGATACTCAAACGAAAGTGCACAGAAATGTAAGGTGTGATGGCGTGAAACGATCTAGGCATGATGTTGGTATTGCTGTTCTTGTATACTAGCCGAATGACCAAGTCTTAGTTTTTTTCGTACGTCGGGCCCTTCTACAGGAGGGGGTCAGGCATCTGAGATACTCCGGAGAGGGTTGCATAGACACTTACATGGCCAGGTACATCAAGGCCGGACCTCAAAAGCAATTACCGAAGTATCAGACTTTCTGGATTCAATTCTTCTCATTCTACACAAGGTGAAATGTACGGAACTGAGGGCCCTGGTCTATCCAACTCTTTAGATAGGCCCATGCCAACCCAACACGCCGACTAACGCCATTTTCCGTCTCCACGAGCATGAGTTCAATTCTCAGGGGCCGGTAAATATCATCAATACTCGAGGGTCCGTCAATATTATCAAGCATTTTTCGTCTCGCAGAACAATCCCACCAAACATACTCTCGTGGTATCGCAGGCATACACATACTAGACATATCACCATCATTGTGCGTGACAGAGAGAGCGAGTAAGGTAAACTGAGAGTTGGGGTCTTTTTGTTGAACAAGGTTGATTCGTTCCATGTTGAGTGAGCCAGTGATTACTTCGGCCACGAAATCGCCAGCTTCAATGACGAATACTTCCTCCTCGTAATACCTTTGACTCTTCTTACCCAGTCTGAGTTGGTTGAGATTCAGTGATTGCGTATAGACCAAGATGGACCCGGAAGAACATGCTTGACGCATATATGAAGGAAACCGCGCGTTCATATCTTGCTCACGCATATCATTCCCTAACATTCCATGAGCCTCTTCACAAAGCTGTGCATGTGATCTCTATTTGCCGAGAATTCGTTCATAATTCTTCAATGTGGCTCTAGTGTTGAGTATACTCGGCAATGATCCCGAGAAACATCCGCACTTCCAGGCCAATATCGCAGCAAGTCTTTGTTCCTTTTCATTTAGATATAATACTTTCACCTTTTCGTCAACCTCTTTCTCGAACTTCGGCTTCTTTAATTCCTCGAGTTTACCTGCGTTCCATACACTATATGTGATGAATTGGAGATCTGGTTGATGACTCGACCTAGAGGGAACTGCCCAGATTGCTAGGGATGTCCGGATTGCCTCACGCATCTCGATGGGTCCTTTAATTGAAGACCACGACCAGGTGGGAAACACATCACCGGGTGCTGCATGCCTTCTGGGATGAATTTTGTTCACTGCCGTCCAGAGAATTGCATCTCTGAAGATTCTCAGGGGTAGTCCATAATAACACTCTTGTCCCCAATTTGTGTGGAGAACGCCTGCGAATGCGCGAAGCACATCACTCTCACAGGTAAGATCCCTGTTTGTGAAATCCTCTACCATCCTTGAGTAACAGAATAGAGGAATCGGTGCAATTTTTACATCATACCTCTTACCATAAAAATCAGCTTGGACATGCTCGGTGTGGTAACATTCATAGAAAACTCTGGTGTCGGAAAACAAAAGCCGCCGTGTTGAGAGTGCTGCCTCTTGAAACGTCCAGCCCCTGGTAGCCCATTTCGAATTTTGTAAACAATAAGAGTAGCTTGGGGGTGTGGCAGTCAGATATATTCCCTGTACTTTTCCAGACCAGCATGTCACTCGACTGGCTTTGTTTACTCCAGGAAGGCCGTGGTCGGCATTCTCTCCGGCTAGAGCAACGATTGTTACAAATGACTTTGCGTAGATTACTCCCATAGAATCGAGCCAGTAGGCTTTCTGGTCAGGGTGTTCATCCTGCAATATGCAAAGACAATCAACCCAAAGATAATCTATCCCCAATTTCCTGCAAGCAACAATGGCATCATCAATAGTTTGAGGTAGACGATCGCTGTTCAGAGAGCCTTCCTCAGACAGGTGATCTATGTTTGCCATCGTTGCCTGCAAGAGGCTGCTCACGGCCCCCCACACATAACTCAAAGCTGCATATTGACACGCCCCAGGGGCAATTGTAATGCACCTCTTTCTGGTGTCAATGACCCGAAGCCCACTTATTCGTGAGACATCAGGCTTCGTCTGGCAAGAACCCGTGTGCTTTTCAGAGTGGCAGTCTCTCACCCACTTGGAGACCTTCTGCCAGTCGACCGCTTGTTGGGGTATAGGAGTAGAAACCAGGCGATGGCCATGGGTAGGCCCTATTGTACCGATAAAGGCCTTGTCCCCTGTATTTGGTTAGTCATCACTCACTGGCCTGTAATTAACTAGTGAAAGCCCCGTGTTATTCATGAGATTACGCACCCACCAACAGCTTATTGTGTTCCCGATGAGACGATAGCGCATCATCCTTCAATTTTTTTCGTGGGCGTTCCAGAAACAACTGGATACTGATGCTGCTCTTGACGCCTCCATTTGTAAACTCACTCCTTGTAACTCGTATGCGGCACATTAAATCAGATGCTAATTTATCTTGTTCCATCACCTCTTTGGCTGTCCCTGAAAAAAAGCGGCAGGTGTCGCAGTAGATAGAGCGTTCTTCTAAGTCTCTGGCGCAACCTAATTCCAGGGAAATAGTATCCAGACTGCATGGATATTGATATTGTTTAGGGCGATTCAGCACTTCTTCTTCAGTGAGAGAGTCGGCTAATAGTATACACTGTATTAGGTGCCTGAGTCTCATGTGTTTGCATACAACGCAGAGTAGATCCTGAGATATACTGGGGCACTGATGGCAACCTTTGTGGAAGTAGGCTGCCTGAACTCTCGACTTTTTCATTCTGCAAGTTCGGAAACTATAGCCACCATAGCGTCCTGACGGTGTCTCACGCGTGAATGTCATGTCTTCCAGGCAATTGCAAAGTGAGCATATCTCCTCATCTTCATCCTCCTCCCCTTCCTTTGCAATACTACTGAAAGGTAGGACGGTGGTTGGCAGCTGAACCATGATAAGTAAACCTTCGGATATCGGGGAAACCTTTCAATGGAGAGGGAAAGGGGGGAATGTTTGATTAATGAACTCTGACTGTGGTTCAGACAATAACTTATTTTGCTCTAGCTAGGTAAACCGATCGCAGTTGGAAGAGGGTAAAGAATGATATGAGTTCTCCGTAAATGCCATGCGTCGAGTTTTAAGTGGGGGAATCCATATTGGATGCATCAGTGCCCAACTTGGCCCGAACGACAGGGATAAGTGCATAACCGCATATTAGCGATGATACCAAGGCCTTGTGTTACGAGAACGAGCGAGAAAAGAAAAAGAAAGAAATAAATAAATATAAAGCAGCCCACACCAAAACCAAACGCTAAAACCCACAAGATCCTTTCCCTGGAAACAATCTATCAATGTGAAAGTTCAGGCGCTGCGCTTGACCATAGTGCATGGGGTGGTGGCTAGCGCATTACTGGCAGCTTTGGCGCCTACGGTCTGCATTATACCTCTCTAGAATTTCCCGGCTCCCGTTGCCTGTTTAACTTTGGACTTGGTCATCGGTTGCGATATGCCCCTCCGTGTGCTCTAAGTAGACGCGATATATCGATTTAATCAGCGCAGTGGGTTTAATACCGGCCATGGTTGCTTCCTCTAAATTCACTGCCTGGAATGAAAAGAACGCCACTGTCAATTCAGTTCGGTTTGCCCTAACGTCACCTGCGGCAAAAACCTTCTACCAGCCATTCATATCTTGTTCCTCTCCCATTTGTACTCCTCTATCTTCGTGGCCTTAATTGCTTTCCATCTTTCATATACCAATTTTCTGATCTAATTTGAGTTGAATCTTGGACCTCGGAGGATCTTGTTCCTTTCTCACTTCTAGCAGCAATTGGTGCGCTGAGCATAGAAATATCGCAGGTAGTTTATTTCTACAAGGCGGTGATAACAGAACCTCTGGCTGCATAGTCGCAAAACTGCCAAGCTGTTGTAAGAATAGTATATAGTAATTTTCAGTCCTGGACTAACACCATGGTACGAAACAATAACGCCTAGATAGAACCCATATATCTTGTCTATGAGATTGATTTAGCATTTAGAAGACGTAATGAACATTGCCGTCTAAAGAGTGCAACATCTCAGTGCTAAATCGGCTACTCTTCGGGGTTCATGTAATTATACAGCGAGAAATTGTAATCCAGAGTTTGCATGTAGTCAATACTTTAGCAGCCTCACAACATACATCCTAGCATACCCGTCCACCATTTTGTATAAATCAAAGAACTAATCTCAAAATCAAAGAATGAACTCCGATCAAACAGCAACCGCCACACCTCCCTCACCAGCAACACCAACCCACCTTCCCCTCTCCTCCTCGAGCATCATCCCCGTCAAGAACCTTCCCTTAGCATCCAATGTACTTGGACTCTTAAACACATCAAACTTAAAATCATGCCACTCCTTCGCCGACCACATCTTGCCCGTAGCATCCCTGAAAGTAACATCATCATTCGGCCTCAAAAAGTACGCAATACTGTAACGGTCCTCCTCCTGCGTCTCCTTCAACGGCACAACACGATGTACCACACTCGCCAGCTCCCCACCAGACGGGAAGCGAAGACTATCGCCGACGTTGATGATAGCGTGGCCAGCACGAGGCTCGATAAATTCCCAGCGCTTCGTTTGGGGAGAACAGTACTGCAGACCCCATTGCGCCGCGAGCAGGAAGGTCAGCGTGCCGACGTCTGTGTGCTGGTTGTGGCCGACGCTGGTGGGTTCGCTGATTCCGGACTCATGCTTGGGGTAGCGTAGGATACCGAGGGTTGAGGTGGACGGGCCGGGGTCGGCGTGGTAGGTTTCGAAGCGGGAGGAGCCGGTGAGACCTAGTTGAGTGGAGAGGCGCGAGAGGATGAGGAGGGTGATGGTGTGGGCTTGGTTGATGAAGTTGAAGAAGGGGGTGGATTTGGTGCGGATGCTGGTGGTGAGGTCGGTTGAGTTCTTGAGGTATTCGCGGCGGGAGAACTGTGGATGTTAGTATAGATGGGGTGGATGTAGAAAGGGGGAGTATCATACCTTGAGGGATTCGTAGCCGTCTCGGGTCTTGGGCTTGGGGCCTTCTTCGGTGCCCATGGGCTCGTAGCTGGGATGGTCAGCGGTCGTGTGAATGCAGGATGGGTTGGGTGTAACTTACCCGAAGTTGTCGTCGTTGCGGGCATCCTGCATCTTGATATCGAGGGGCTGCTCGAAGTACTCCTTCATGATGGACAGCATGTCTTCCCAGAGCTGGCAGAGCTCGGGATCGCTGGTCATGTTGAGGTAGAAGAAGCCATAGTTCTGGCAGACGCTGAGGAGTCTCTTGTTCTCCGTTTCATTGTCTGCTCGGAGAAGGTCGAGCTCGATGGTTGGGAGAGACTCCGCAACGAGAATGGGCTCGGTGATGGCCATGTTGAACTTTTGAGGGGGAAAGAACGCTTGAAGAAAGTGTCTCCGGTTAGAGAAAGATGAGTTGGTTTGTTACTTTGATGCCAGAGAACTTGCAGCTTTCGAGCTTCTTATATGTGCCTGGGGTTGGCCCTCTCGTGGCGGCCACGGCAAGTATACAGCATCATTGTCCGATGTATACAGACTCTCAAGTCTCTTTCCTACTTCCAACATGGCTAAGGGGCCAGAATCTCAGAGACGGCTCTGCAATGGCGTGATTCATCCCGATGTAACCCGTAGAAGGATAGACGATTCCATCCTCGTGTTCGCTAAACTGTTGATACTACCTTGCTAGCTGTTCTAGATCGCGAAAACATCTTCAGGATCTGGTCCACGGCTGAGCGATGGCAACTATGAGACGACGAGTTGCTCGGGATGTTTGCTCGAACAGGAAGTTGTCTTCTCGAGCGAGAGAAGGTATGAAACGCATGTTAGTTAGCTATAAAAAGGATTAATCAATCAACTGACTGATTGGTTACTTGCTTGTATTACACGGATACAGCCACTACTATGCGTAAGCACTACTAAACAGCTAAGCATAACTACTGTACAGTACTTTTGTCGAGTATGAAGGATTGTTAGCGGGATCTGTTGATCTGCTAATGGCAAATCTGTAACGCCTTCCTTTTCAGGCAATGATCTGAGCTTGTTCGGTAGATATCAGGAGGCAAATGAGATTACCTTTTGATATTACAAAGGGAGAGGCTTGAAGGATTCGGAGATCCGTGGTCAAAGCGCTGAGGATTCTACTTAGTAGGCACTAGAAGGGCCATGTAGTTGGTGCTTTTGCCCGGCATGCCTCTAGCTTAGAAATTCAAGGCAATGATAGGCGGATAGAGCCGACGTCTCTAAAGGCATGCATAATTAGTTGACAATAAGTGTATCACACGAGGAAAGCAGGTAATAGTATCATGATTCTTCAGACTCAATCTAGATACCTCTCGGCAATAGTAGTCCGCGCTTGTAGCCGTCCTACCCCACAACTATCGCCACAACCAATATCACCCGAAGCAGTTTAGGGCTTACTCTTCATGAAAGACATAACATATTGACCCCATTGATGAGGCTATGTATAAGCTATTCACCCCCTGCATTTCTTTCCCCACATCACATGCATCACCTGATAATTCCTATCGGGGCTTTTTAGCAGCTAAAAAGCCGAACACGTAAATCGATCCTGTAAGTGCCGAGATGAACCCGATGTCGGTGCACTGTATATACCTCATATTAATATGACTGGAGATCAGCTAGTAACGGGCTAGATTTCCTGCTCCACTTCTCTGCAGTGAAACGGCCCCCAGATTTAGCACGGTTGTATAGCACGAAACGGTATTCACCTGGAGACGGCAATGTCCGTATTATGGGTTACATCTGCTAGTGAGAGGCTACAGCGCCTGCAGATGAAGATGAAGCCTAGATGCTTGCTGCAGATTGCCATCGCCGAAGATCTGGGCTTGCTGAGATGAGGGGACTCGTATTCTGATGCAGCTAATAGAGAAAAGGGAATTGGCTAGAGTGACTAAATGTGAAGTGTAAGAGTGATGGCTGTATGAGAAAAGTACGTCCCGCGATAGTATAATTACCCATCATGGTAGTGATATAAACCTCCATTTATTGTTAGACATTGCAACCTCAACAACAACGTCAAGCCATTCTTCATTCTTTTTTCCCTTTACCTCTTGTTTCTTTCATCGCCTACCTCAACACAATGACTGTACAATCCAACGGTCACGGAGGTGCCAGTGATGCCGTCACGGCCCAGGCCGCGCTGGTCCGTTCCCAACAAGAAAGGCGGCCCATTGAAAGCTTTGGTCACCTTGCAGACTTCGACAAGAAGGATGCTCCCGTCGTCACCATGTTCAGCGGTGGCCTGGACAGCACCTACCTGCTCCTCAAGCTCCAGCAGCTCGGCTACACCAATATCCATGCTGTTGCGGTAGATGTTGGAGCTCCTGTGGACGAGGCAGGACTGACCAAACACGCTGCTCACTTCGGAGCATCGTTCAAGTGTCTCGATGGTCGCGAGCTGTTCGTCAAAGATGGAGTCATGCCAGCCATTCGCGCTCACGCATCATACATGCGCATGTTTCCCATCAGTAGCTCCATCACCCGTCCGGTCATCGCTCGTCTGATCACAGACTACGCCAATTCCGTGAATGCAGGCTTGCTTCTCCACACTGCAAACCTCTCGCAGAACAGTCTTCCCCGACTGAACAACTGCATTCGTCTCTATGGCTTCTCTGGCAAATTCGGAAGCCCTTACGTCCACTCCGTGACCTCGCGCGAGAAGAAAGCCTCAGAGTTATCCGCAGCCGGCCTGTCCATCATGGCTAAGCGCAAGCTAAGCGGAGACGAGAACCTATGGTGTCGAGAATTCGAAGACGGTCCGCTAGGCGACCCAGAGGGTTTCAACATCCCCGAAGAAGCCTACGAATGGACGCGGCGCAGCGGTGACTACACCCCCGAGAAGCTCACCCTGAGCTTTGAGAACGGTAACCTCTCCTCCATCAACGGCGATGAGCTCCCCCTTATCGACGCCATTGCACTCCTGAACAAGGAGGTAGGCAAGTTCGGTCATGGCCGATTCGTCGGGCTTGAGTTTCTTTCGACCGACGACAAGGCATTGGAGATTCGCGAGGCACCGGCCGCTGCGATCATTATGGATGCGCTTCGGCACCTCGAGCTTGCTACGCTGGAGACTGATACCCTGGAGCTGAAGCAGCAGCTGGAGCAGAAATGGATCCGGGAAGCGATTGCCGGTCGCTGGGGTCATCGGTGTCATACCATGTGCGAGGCCGCTATTGTTGCCGCTTTGGATGGTGTCAGTGGGAGCATAACTTACGACATTGACCATTCGCGTTTCTTGCCTTGCTCCATTGTGGCGAAAAATCCGCGGTATATCAGGGATCGGGACCAATGGGAACAGGGGCAGGAATTGCTATCGCGAATTTAGTATCATTAGAGTATGACCAGTATAGAAAAGGGTTGTTGTTTAGTTTAGGATTTTTTCTTTAAAGTAATTGAAACTTTACGCTATAGCTTTCAGAAAAGAAATGTAATTCGCTATTTGCCTCTTTATGGTTACAATGAAAGTGTGACCAATCCGATAATGATCTGTTACAAATCTTACATACATTAGCGCGGACACGCCCTGACAGTGACAAGGACTGGTTGTTACATTAGCCAGAAGCTCGGACCACCCCCGTCTATCAGGTACATATACCCTGCTCAGCACCCACTACTACTCCACCTACCTTCTAAATCTACCATAATTTTTGGTTATTATTTATACACAAATGCACCGTCAGCTACGTTTCTGACTATCTTTATCCCAGCGTGTGCCCTCCCAAAGACTCTACTGCACCCAACATCGCATCGGCAGATCCAGCCCAATCACAGTACGTCTAAACCTCCTAGTCAGCATAATCCGGGGCCCCAACCTAACAAACTAATAGATGTCCGAATCCACAAAACTCGTCTACCAGCAAGACGGACAGCTGCTCCTGCACGGGGCCAAGATCCTGTCCATCATCCCAGTCTCCAACCTCCCAGAGGCCGACCAAGGCCTAGTCAAGGACTCCCCGGAAATCGAGCATGCTGTGGTGACAGACTCCACAATCTTCCACGTCCAAGGCGGCGGCCAACCCTCAGACACCGGAACCATGACCACGGAGGTAGCGCCCAAAGCAGCCTCCATCTTCGAAGTGAAATCCGTCCGCCAACCAGCCCAGGGCAATCAGATCCTGCACTTGGGCCGCTTCGTCCCGGTCGGGACTACGCAGTTCGATTCCGGAGAGGAAGTCCAGCAGCATGTGGACGCTGAGAAGCGGAACCTGCACTCTCGGCTTCATACTGCTGGACATGTCATGAGTTTGGCGATCCATGCGCTGTGTCGCGAGGGTGTGCTTCCCCCGGTGAAGGAGTCAAAGGCGTCGCATTATCCGGGGTCGGCGTCGGTTTCGTTTGAGGGCACGTTGGAGGGGAAGCATAAGGAGCTTATTCAGGCGAAGACGGATGAGTTTGTGAAATCGGCGAGTCCGGTTAGGATTCATTGGTGGTCGATGGAGGAGTTGATGGAGAAGTGCTTTGTTGCGGAGGGGTTTGCGTTGCCCGAAGGGGAGACGTTGGGGAGGGTTGTGGAGATGGAGGGGTTGGGAAGTTATCCTTGCGGAGGGACACATGTTACGGATTGTAGCTTGGTTGGGAGGATTGAGGTGAAGAAGATTTCGAGGTCGAAGGGGGTTAGTCGGGTTTCGTATACCGTTGTATAGTGTTGAGTGGGTTGGGTATATAGACTTGGGAGGTATAGATTGATGGTGCAGGGGATAGAAGGGTAATCGGTATTATGCAGTATGAGGTTGAGACTAATTCTGGATGTTTGTTACGAGGAACACGGATATAGAACAGCCACCAGGATTAGATAGAAACTGTGCTTTGTGGAATGTAGAGTCTGGATCTTCTACATTAGATTACATGCTATCCAAATGTGTCTTTTGGGTGCAAATACAGAGTATCACAGACGTGTATTGTTCAAGTAAGCTAAGTATCATACTTGCCCTCTAAAGAGGAGGACTGATATCAAGTCCATTCACAATCAACTTGAAAGAGTCGTTTCTGTTCAACCAAATTAGCATAAAACCACGAAGTACTAGTAGGATACTCCATACCTCGAATAACTTCCAGCAGCATCCGAGTCCAATCTGTATCTCAGACAATCATCGAAATCCACCCCCACCATCATCATGCCATCTACTTCCTCCCAGAGCGGTCCTTTCAACATATCACCACTCGGAGCTACAATGCAAGAACCCCCTCTGGTGGCAAACTCCTCACTCTCGGACTTTTCCCCATAAACCCAAGCAGGTTGGTCCTTCTTCCTGTGGCATTGGTTGGCACTCAGGACGAAACATCTACCCTCGCAGGCAATGGTTCTCATGAGCGGGGCCCATGCGTCACGCTGATCGGCTGTGGGGGCTAGATAGAGGTTGACATTCTGGCTGTAGAGGGAGTGCCTCAACAGCGGCATGTAGTTTTCCCAGCAGATAGCAGCTGCTAGGGTGAGTTTCACGCCTTTGATGGTGGTTGTCACCGCACGGAGCGAAGAGGGCTGTCCCTGGCCCCAAACCAGACGCTCACTTCCTGTCTAGTTCTGGTCAGCCTAATACCATATCAATACAAAGAGGGATACTTACCGGCATGACCTTTCTCCGCTTGCCAATCACTGTGTAGATAATAACATCATGTCAGCTTCCACACTCCACATCAAAAGTACATGCGGATACTCACCTCCCAACTTGGGACAGACATAAACTACTGCGCAATAAAGAGTCCCTCCAGCCCTCTCAACCAATCCAGTAACGATGAAGATACCCGTCTCGCGAGCCACTAGTTCCAGCTCCTCGCGGACTCCATCGCCCCTTCGGACTCCACTTCCACTCCCGTCCTGCCCCTCCAATTCCCTTCTCACCCACTTCTCCCCCGCTCCTTCAGGCGTATCGCCCAGATCCACCGCATCCTTGAAGTAGTTCAGGTATTGTTCTCTGCCTTCATCGTCTCGAGATCCCACCTTGGCTCCAAAGGTCGCCCCACGAGGATAGCCCCCAATGTAAGCTTCCGGAAAGAGAATCAGGTCGGGTGATGGGGTCTGCTTGGCTGCTTGCCGACATTGCTGTGACAATGCCTGGACAGTCTCCGGGGTGCTGGCGAGGGTGTGTGCCTGACTGACGGCGAGGTAAATGGTTTGTGGTGAGGCCATTGCTAGTAGTCAAAATAATCAGAGAGTATGGAAGTGCTATGTTCACAAGAGACAAGAAGAGGTGTCCTTTCTACGGAGGTATACCAGGGCATTTGCCCATTTTATTAGAGCACAATACCCTTATCAGTTGAGCTTGGACCTGGTACCTGATCCCTGTTCACATTACCCCTCAATTAAGCCCTTTTCTGTACCTTTTGATTCCCTGTTACTGTCGATCGACAGGTTAGTGCTTATCGTGGCAAGATGCTATCTGAAGTACTTTGTCCGCAGTCTTAGTGTACGGAGTGGGATGGTAGAGTAACATCGGGGAAGGGCAAATACATGCCCCACCCCGATTACGGTGACGTGTCTAGACTTATCTTAGTGTCTGGAGACTATATCTTAGTCGATCTTAGGGAAGTTAGGGTAGCCAAGTCTAGGCACTTCACCGTCAATTTGCTTCGGATCCAAGCGTCTCTGCTGACTTGCTTCTTCAGGAAATTCTTTCATCTCCGCGCCCTGTAACATGGACTAGTCCGAAACCGGACTACGAGGAAATATTCCTCGCCACGCCGCATTAAGACCACTATTATTGAGTCATTTTGTTTTTTTCTATCTTTTATGACTGGAAATCACTCTCTTGTCTGCATGTCTTTGTTCTTCTATAACTATGCAATTGTGATGGTCAATTCTTTTCATAGATGCAATATATGCGACATAATAGGTATGTTGGTTTACGTTCTTAAACCATTCGTGCTAATCCATTACATCGTAGATTTGTCTAATTATTTTTCTACCAAATAATCAATCAATTTGCGATTCAATTGCGACTATCATACCCATACTATTCTAATAACCAACCCACCCGTACCACTCACCAACACCACCAACATGACCGACAATAGCAGTGTCGAAGCCTACCCAGAAGCTATAACCGAGTTCGACGAAAAGACAATCAATAATGAAACCATCAAAGAGAAGAAATGGGGAATACTTTCAAAATCACAAAGCGTCGCAAGCTGGAAAGATCCCGGTCCTCCCCCAGATGGCGGAGCTCTCGCATGGACACAAGTCTTAGTGGGACACTTAATTATTATGAATACCTGGTAGGTGCCAATGCGCTGCTTTCGCACGTGTGAAAGCTCAATTGGTTCCTCCGGGAGCGTGGTTACACTTTGTGCTGGCTGTATCGTGAAAAGTATGCTGAAATAGGGGCAGGGGCTATATGAATTCGTTTGGTATCTTTCAGACGTATTACGTCGACTTTCTAAATCGCTCGGATTCGGACGTTTCGTGGATTGGAAGCGTTCAGGTCTTTATTGTCTTCTTTATTGGTACTTTTACGGGGAGGTTCACTGATGCGGGTTACTTTCGGCCGGTTTTTGGTGAGTATTCCTTCTTCTCCGCAGATGCGTCTCAGGCTTATAACCTTCAAACTATGACATCCCCGCTATTGAAGATTTATGCTAATTACTACAGTGGTCGGAACCATCCTCAGCGTCCTCGGCATGTTCATGGCCTCCATATCTACCGAATACTACCAAATATTCCTCGCGCAAGGAATCTGCTGCGGCATCGGCAACGGATGTCTATTCTGTCCAGCCCTCTCAGTAACATCCACCTACTTCGCAAAGCGCAAAATGCTCGCCGTCGGCATCTGCGCCTGCGGCAGCGCCACAGGAGGTCTAATCTTCACCGTCATGTTCCAGCACCTGATCCCACAGATCGGCTACGGGTGGACGATGCGAGTCTTCGGCTTCTTCACTCTAGCTTGTCTGATCATCTGCAACATCCTAGCAAGACCGAGAGTGCCCCCTCGGAAGACAGGTCCTCTCATAGAGCTCGCTGCTTTCAAGGAACCATCATACACCTTGTTTGCGGTCGGCATCTTCTTGACCTTCTGGGGTGTTTATTTCGCCTTTTATTACCTGAGCTCGTTTGGCGTTGCGATTATCAACATCTCTCAGGAGGAGTCGCTCACCTTTACTCTTATCCTGAATGGTCTGGGTATTATAGGTCGTCCGCTCCCTGCGTACCTGGCTGATCGGTATACCGGGCCGATGAATATTCTTCTTGTGGTTACCCTGTTCTCGATTATTTGCGCTTTTGCCATGATTGGCGTTACGTCTATCTCGGGGCTTTATGCATGGACAGTTGTTTATGGTATTGTGGGAAATGGTTTGCAGGGAATGTTTCCGGCTACGTTGAGTAGCTTGACGACTGATTTGCAGAAGGCGGGTGTCAGGATGGGGATGATTTTCGTGAGTTTCCCTCCCTTTGACCAGTTGTATGAATGGGTGAATCTGGTGACTAACTTGATGTAGACTATTGTCAGTTTCGCCGTATTGACAGGTCCGCCTATCGCTGGTGTTCTGATCACGAGGGACAATGGCCGCTATGTGTATGCGCAGCTCTTCGCGGCGTGCTCGATGCTCATCGGATTCTGTCTCCTTTGTGCGGCTAGATTAGCGAAGACAGGCAAGGTCTTGAAGTATAAGATCTAGTGCGTTACGAGAGGAACTGGATGGGTGAAATACTTATGAAAGCCTTTTCGGGGAAAAGTGTGCGCTTTGTTGGAGATTTAGTATATGAAGCATACGCAAGACATGAGATGTGACGGATGTATGGTGCACTTACTGGAGTTTTAGAATGCATGTGTTATGGGAAGTTGTTGCCAGAGTGGGAAATCAAGCGATGATTAATGACTTTTTACGCTACCTCTTGACCCCAGAGTCGAGTACAACAGTCTATAGTGATAAATGTTATTCAATTACACATCTATGGGGCGAATCGAGAGGTAGAAGGGGTAGTAGAGGGCAATAGAGTGATGAGACTACTTAGTAACGAACCCATTGCCCAACTAGGTTAGAGACCGGCCCGCAATTGCTATGTTTACTCCATCCCTTCGAAAGGCCCGCCGTTTCTCCTACCAGCTCATCGTACACTTCTCCACTTTCTTTCTCCATGTTCGCTTTCCGCACTTTCCAGTAATACTCATGATACTTTCAGTAATCCGTACGTGGCTCTATGATGTTATTTGGCATCCTGTAGCTACGGAGTCAGACGAGTCAAAGGTAAGTTCGGCTGCATTCTCTTTGTATTCCCCTACTAAGTTATTCTTCCAGAATATTGCACCGTTACAGATTAATACCCCCAATCACTGTCAAATAGACGAAATGGAAGCTGGGCTGTCTCCCCATGTGCAAAGTCTTCGAGCAGAGGGTCAGAATCACAATCCCCAACCTCGAACTGGCAAAATAGAATGCACGCATATTCCTGGACGATCTAGCAATACTTTACCTTCTCCATTTTCCCGTGACCCTTATCTCGGTCTCCCAGTGATTGGTAATGGCATGACTGGGTTCATTCTTAAGCTTGGGGAAGACCGTGCTGTGAAGAAAGCAAAGCGATATCAACCTGGGTACCTCCAAAACCGCGAGGATGTGGAATACATGAACCAAATAAACCAGCAAACTCTGGATAATGAGATGCAAGTCTTCCAGCGCCTGGGCAGTCACAAAGGGATTATTTCTTGCTTCCCGACATCTCAATATGGGATTGAACTAGCCCTTGCACAAGAAAATCTTGAAACTTATCTAGAGACCCATCCAGAGCATGATAACTCCCTGAAAACGAGCTGGATCTGGAGTATTATCAACACTTTTACACATGTCCACTCTTGCAAGGTATTTGTGGATGATATCGCTCTTCGCAATATCTTAGTGGTGGATGGACAGCTTAAGCTTTCTGACTTTGGACAATCTATTTTATTACCACATGATACTGATATGACTTCAGCAAATGAAAACGACTTAAATGTCCAGATTGAGATACTTCACCTTGGTTGGGTTCTCTATTCTATTGCATCCTGGCGCGTCCATAAGTACTATTTCTTCAGCCCCGGAAACCCTGGATTGTGTTGGCCCGAGCCAGACTCATTCCCAAATGTTGATCATGTTCTCTTTGGGAGAATAATCCAGAAGTGCTGGCGGGGCGAATATACGAGTATGGATAATCTGAGAGACGAGGCTCACCAATTGCTCACTGCCGACGAAGATCACCCGGTGCGCGATCTTGGTAACGAATCTTGACTGGCTTGATTACGTCTCCTGAAGAAATATGTCAGTCTTCCGGAGATGGTTTGCCAATCTCGCTTTGGTTTGCGCCTCTGTGCCGGTAGACTTGTGAAATGCCGGTCGTCCTCGGAGGGCCTTGGGCTAGATTGGTCTGCGCGGACTCCGTGAAGTATTCCAATAAGCAGAACAACGAGTTGAAAGCAATCGCCGAATCCCTCACTGCTCGCTTGCTCACGTCTTCGGGGGGATGGCAAGATATAGCAGCCTGCGTGGGAAAAGCAGAGAACTGGTATCAACGATAGTTGTATTTTGGCGCACCAGAGAAAAACCTGCCTACACAGCAAAGGCCGTTCATTTGTCAATTGCATATCAAGGTAGTCTATCCAGAATCAGAACAGGATGGTACAGCTTAGAACTATCGTGCTGGCGATTTCATCCAGAGCAAGACAACCTCGAAAGAACAGTGATACATTGCCTACGCTAACAAAAGAAGAAAACGTTGCACGGCGAGGTGTCCTTTTTTTTGTTTTCCCAGAATACCTGGGGCGCATCTAGGCAGGAACGGGAAAGAACGGTCGGTTCCATGCACTGAGAGGTTTTCTTGCTTGTTGGCTCGAAGGGTTATTAGCCAATGCATACATAATTACTGTCAGTCTTCTTCCATAATTACATGGCAAGGCACAATATTGTAGTCAGGAACTTCATCCCGACATTGACTTCATGGGCAGTCTGAGTAGAATTGGATATCCCGGACGCAAACAAAGTTGAACTTGCTCAATCCGCATACTCTGCATCGGGGTAACAACTCCGAGCCAGATGCTGCAAGGTCTTGCTGGTGAATATTACACAGTCAGTGGGGGAAGTCATCGCAATGGTGTTCAATCATGTCTTTCGCAAATAAAGACAGTGAATAGAAGCTTACTTGGCTTGCATTTATTTATTTATTTATTTATTTTTATTTTTTCATGTCTGGTTGGGGACGAGCGAGTGGCAGATGAAAGATGTAGTAATTGCCCCGTTTACTTGGAGATAGCATCCTCTCACAACTATCATCTAGTTATGATGTTAAGATTACGGACGGAGTACCCTGTTACACTTCTACTTAGTATTTCTCATAATTTTGAATTGTCGTAGCTGATACTGCTAGCTGCGGAGGATATTTTCCCGATAATTGCGTGACGTTGCGTTGATTATTCTCCTACTCCTAGCAAGGCCATATATATATATATATCTGGGCATACTACCACCTACCAGCGTCAAACTTTGTTACTAGTACGTACTGTAACTAAACTGCGCAGGCTATAGATTAATGTGGAGAGACATTTTTCAACAAGTCAGCCCTTGTAGCTCAGTGGTAGAGCGCTTCACTCGTATTCCAAATACTGCCATGAAGAGGTCCGCGGTTCAATCCCGCGTGGGGGCACTTGTTTTTTCGTTTTTATTTTTTACACACTGTTGTCGGAGGCGGAACACAAACCATACTAGTAGACAAGACAGCCAGCCAATCAAGAAACAGTCAAACCCTTTACCTAGAACCATGGATGATTTTTCCTGAGTCATTCGTAGGAGTTTGTCCGAAGCTTCCCGCCGCTCCCGGTGCCAGAGGCACATTTTTATTCTTACGCCAATCCGTAACCATGTAGTGCCGTGGTTCCGACTCCCCCTCTCATCATGCTTTTATCCATCCATTCATCTACGGACGATGTTCATGACGGTTTTGAGGCCATGTCTGAGTACGCGTCTCAAGTTGAGACTCAGCTGCTCGGTGACCGGCCTCAATAAGGTAGCTTCTGTCCGTAGCGCACTAGCCAATATGGGTGGAAAGTGGAGTCAAACCCTGCAGCTCACTGGTCAGAGCTTCAGTTATACCCATTTTGTCGTCCCATTCATTATACCTGGGATATGGCTTCGGTTCGAGTCCGAGCCGGGGTCATCCTGCTTCTCCCCGGCTAATAAGCCATGCTAATAAGCCATGTGGCCTTTATTTGCTACTAGGATACTCCTTCCCTTTTATCATAAGCCTTCTCTTCTGCCTCTCTCTATCCTAAATAGATAGATGTACGAAGTGTATAGCTGAATGCGCTGCGGCGCCCTGCTCAGCCGTTGCAGCCTCAAGGTACTCTCCACCTGCGACGGGATAACACCGAGATATCCCCGCTATATTTAGCGTTTGGACGCTATTCCCTTCAGTGAGATGCTTCCAAGTATGCATGACTCTGTTATAGTTCCTTAGTAAACGAAAAGACGGTGTTGACTCACAGTCTCGTGTTTCGCACCGATGTGTGGAGTTGTGGAGCAGGACAAGAATGATCGCCTACTTTAAGAGCAATAAAGCGTTGTTTGATGCCCAATAGGCTGCCGTAGACAGCATCTCAAACACTCTGATTGAAGAGCCTCGAATCCAGATGGCTTGGCTCCCGGCTGAGGTGTTGCGGCATCGGGGGTTGCTAGACTGTAAATTGGAATGACTCCCAAGGTCTGTCAAGTAAGATCCGAAGGACCTCTTGGACAGAAGATCCCCTCACACTTTACTATGAGTCAAAGGCATATTGAAGATCGCTATGGTCGCGTATTCCTCCTGCCATTTCTTCTCAAGCCAAGCCCGTGTAGGCGACCAGCCGCGTGCGGAGAATGATTGTCTTGGAGCCGAACTGCACTGCTGCAGGTGCTCTTAGTGTCGAGTCATTGGACCCAAGTCGGTGACGGATCTTGACATATATTAAGATCGCCTTTCGCTTCGCCAGCCTGAATGCAATGCATCCAATTGCCGGCTCCAACTTCGAGATTGATAAGCACGTCATCCAGACTAAGCTTAATTGTGACAACAGGTCGGACGGAGATCGGAGTCATTGGAGTCTAGTGCGTGGTATTGGCCAGATAAGAAGATGCTGCAAGGGCAATCACAGCAGGTTCGGAGATATCGTTGGCTGTCCATCGGTCAATATAGGCGGAAAAGGTCAAAGCCAGCGGATGACGAATCAGTGATTGTTGGGAGGGCGAAGTCGGACTTCGGAGGGGTTTAAGATACTTAACCTGAACGGGTCGCGCTCCTTCCGCGCTCTGCTGCCTGCTGCCTGCTTTTTTTCCTCCCCTTTCACCAGACACAAGTGATGTTGTTCACTTACTTTTAACAGCAGAGAGTTGAAGTACTCTGGGAAGTGCATTAGAAATCCAACCCCAGAGATTGCCTGATGGCCACTACTCCATACGATAGCCCGGATGATCAGTCCAGGCAACTCCGCCTCTGAACTATTCTGGGCGGCTTGAGCCGGTCGGCTATGAACTCCACCCCCAATTAGGAATGTCTCGAGAGTCTGTCTCTACTGTCGCGCCGTGAGCACCAGCAGTCGCATCAGAGGTCATTGCGACCATGCTCATAGCTACATCCTGGACTGCACGTCTCAATGGATGTCTAATGAACTAACCCCCCCAGGTTACAGTCATGATTCCATCCTTTCCACCCGTCATGATCGAATAGCACAATTGCCTCAATTGCCTCACTTGCCACGTTCTTCCACCGGACATCCGACAGGAATTGAGGGAGATAAGCACAGCTGTGGCCAAGACACGCTACATCCTACGGTTATCAGGGAAGGACAATGGACTGATGGGTCCCAATCTACTTGCGCTCCATACAGATCATGCATCGAGTCAACCACGGCGCGGGGAAGCCCGACGTTGCAACCATCTGCTGCTGATCGTCTGTCGCATGAGCGGGGGAAATTGCACACAATGAGCCGACCATGCGTGCCCCCTTTGCGCCCTGCGAGAACATCGACGGAGGAAGAGTCGTACTCCGCCGGACTACGAATGAGACACGCCAGACTTATCTGCATGTTAGCAGCTTAATGATTTATGTTACCTAACATGTTCCGCATCTGGTGGTCCTACCGACGGCACGAACGATTTAGTCCTGGTCCTGCTTGGCGTCAGACAAAACGGTGGAAATTTTGCTGCGGCGGCCATTCCGCATGCCAATTGATCTGGGAAGGCTTGCATACAAGGCAAGGGATTTCGCTTATTGACGGATCTTTGAGGATTGAAGCATTCTGTCGATCACCACGATTAAACACGAACCGGGACGAGGAGACGCAGAAAATAGGGGAAAATATGGTGAGGGGAAGCCACGAGGGAGTGGAAACTCTGGAAGGAATTCGGCCTCTCACCGGCAAACTCCGACTTCTTGGCGTCCCAAGATGTCGTCGGGCTCTGCGGGCGATGGGCCAATCACCGCCATCCTTCGCCATCTCGGCTGATGCTTAACGCTGCTTGTCAATTATTGTCATATCGATTGTTGCCTCCGGGCTCTGGGTTGCGCCCGGACTCTTTCCTCGGTTATAATGATTCAGATTCTCACTTGACCACAAACGGGCCCTGTCCTGGTGGCCATTGGTCCCAGGGTCAGGAACGGTCCCGCTTCGGCTACCTCTCTATATCTCCCACCACCAGGAGATATAAGGTGTGCGCCGTTTCCCTCGCGAGTATCTCGTGCTCTCATCTTTCCAGAGGAAAATCTGCGCTCAACTCCTCCCACTCGCCTTTGGGATTTTCCTGCCTGGTCCCGCAAAGATGTCTGGAGATCATGAGGCTGAGATCACTCAGTAAGTGTCCACTACCCTTTTGTGTTTGATTTTCACCCTTCCTGTGGCCTGGTCCATCTCCCGTGTCGGTGCCTCGTGAGTCACCATTCCGTCACAGCTCATTCGAAAATCGCTCCCCCTCATCCCATACTAATGGATATTCCAGGCCGCAACAACAGGGCCACGGCACCGAATCGATTGTGAACGAAAAGGCGGCATTCACGGAGGCTAGCGAAAAGGCCCTCGGTCCCACCCCCGACGGCGAAGAACCCAATGCTGAGGAAGTCGCTACCCTTCGCCATGTTGCGGAGCATCTGCCCATCTCCGCATGGCTGGTCGCCGTTGTCGAGCTGTGCGAGCGTTTCACCTACTACGGAATGTCTGGCATGTTCCAGAACTACGTTGATCGTCCCCTGGACGGAAGTGAGGGCCGCGGTGCCCTAGGCATGGGTCATCAAGGAGCCACTGGTCTCACCACTTTCTTCCAGTTCTGGTGTTATGGTTCGTCTACTACTGCATAAATACGTGGGATCGCTGGCTGACATCTGCCCAGTTACCCCCATCATCGGTGCCATCGTCGCTGATCAGTACCTCGGTAAATACAAGACCATCGTGGTCTTCTGTATCATCTACTTGGTCGGTCTGCTCATCTTGGTTTGCACGTCCATTCCGACCGCTCTTCACCACGGAGCCGGTGTTGGTGGCTTCATTGTGTCTATCCTGATCATCGGTCTGGGAACGGGTGGTATCAAGAGTAACGTTGCTCCTCTGATTGCCGACCAGTACAAGCGCAAGAAGATGGCCATGTCCACCACCAAGAAGGGTGAGCGGGTTGTCATTGACCCTTCCCTCACGATTCAGCGCATTTACATGATCTTCTACGGCTGTATCAACGTGGGATCGCTGTCTCTCTTGGCCACTCCTTACATGGAGAAGTACATTGGCTTCTGGTCTGGTTATCTGCTTTGCTTGTGCATGTTCGCCGTCGGTACCATGGTGCTCATCTTCGGCCGCAAGTACTACGTTGTGCGCCCTCCCCAGGGCTCCATTATCACCGACGCCTTCAAGGCTCTGTGGATCATGGTTGTCAACCGCAACATGGATGCCCCCAAGCCCAGCTGGCAGGCGGCCAACAATGGCACAAGAACCAACCTCCCCTGGGATGATCACTTCATCGACGAGCTCAAGCGTGCGTTGGTCGCTTGCCGTGTGTTCTGTTTCTACCCGATCTACTGGGTTGTTTACGGCCAATTCTCCAGCAACTTCGTCACCCAGGCCGGTCAGATGGAGGGTCACGGAATCCCGAACGACTTGATGCAGAACTTTGATCCGATCTCCATCATCGTCTTCATCCCCGTCCTGGAGACCCTTGTCTACCCCCTGCTGCGTCGCTTGCGCATTCGCTTCCGTCCGATCACCCGTATCTCCCTGGGTTTCGTTGTTGCCTCCTTGGCGATGATGTACGCGGCCATTGTCCAGCATCTCATTTACTCGGCTGGGCCCTGCTACGAGCACCCCGGATGTGCTGCTTCGGAGGTTGATGGGTCCACCACCGGCAACCACGTGCACATTGCCATTCAGACGCCTGCCTATGTGTTCATTGGTCTGTCTGAGATTTTCGCGTCGGTGTCTGGATTGGAGTATGCCTACACCAAGGCTCCTCCGTCGATGAAGTCCTTCGTGCAGTCCATGTACCTGCTCACCAACGCTTTTGGTTCCGCTCTGGCCGAGGCACTGACCCCTGCTGCCTATGACCCGGCCATCATGTGGATGTTCGTGGGTCTGGCTTGCGCCTCGTTCGTTGCCGGTATCATCTTCTGGCTGGTGTACCACCACCTCAACGACCAGGAAGACCAGCTCAATGCGCTCGACGCTGATGACCCGGATGCTCCTGCCGCGCCCCCGGCCTATGAGGAGAAGAAGGAGCAAGAGCACTGAAAAGCGCTCACTCCGCTCGATACCCTCTATTTCTTCTAATGTACTATAATATTTTTGACCCGCAGTTCTCGTGTATACGCGCTGAACGTGATATATGCGAAGTCGCGCAGGCCCGCGTAAGAGCACCTGCAGAGCAGATGAGAATGAGAAAGGGGCGGGTGTACATACGATGTACGGATTATGCATATTTTTTTTCCCCCTCGTTAATTTAGTTAGTATCATGATTAGCATAGCAATATAATTTATGGCGTTGCCTGGCTGAATTTGTGGTTTCCTAATTGCCTACTCCGTACCCGAATCAATGGCTCCTCACCAACGGAAGTCATCCGTCCGCCAGTGAAGCAGACCCTGCAGGCAGTGGTAGTGCCCACTGCCCACTGCCCACATAGCAAAACTGTAAAAAGCCGACCCGTGCCTGAAATTATTCTCGAACAACCCACCCAATTACCACACCAAATTAGACTACTTTTACTTACTCGGATAAGTGGAACTTTCTTATCTTAGCCTCGTATTCTCGTAGACCAGTTGCCGTGAATAATGGGGGTTAGGTAAGTAATTGTAGTAATTGATCGGATACCAGCCGAGAGAAATTATACTTCGCATAGTGAGTAATAAGGATTCATTGTAAGCATAAGTATGTATGTAACTGTTCATGATGGTGGTTATTATCATCCAATATTATTCAAGGTGTATATATATTTATTTCCACATAATAATTATAACAATAGTTATTATTAACTATATGAAGGTGCTGGTATGACTCGTTTAAAGTTTCCTATCCGGACGACGGAATAGAGCGGAAAGAGCGGAAGAGGAAATGGGATGGAAGGGAATAAATCTGGTTCTAGAATACGTTGTGCGTAGGCAGGCCATTGGCAATTTGGATTTTACTTTATGGGGGAGAGATTTTCGGATGTCTGGTGGGTGGGCAAACTGCACTGCAAATTGTTGTGTGTGCTGGTAGGTAGACTAGGTAGAGTAGCTATGGTTGGACCCTTACTGCAGTTCCATGGATTTGGGGTATTGGGTTCTGTGGATGGGGGAGGATTTTGAAGGATTCTAGACCGTAAGTTGGCTGGGTTTGCTGGGTTTGCTGGGTCTGTGGTTCGGGGTGGGTGGTTGTGGTAATGATTGCGCTTGTGGGTGATGTAAATCGATTACTGTGTACTCCGTCTAGTGTTCAATGATGGCTTTATAGAAATTGTCTGTATGCTGTGTGATTTGTTCTTCGTTTCGGGTAGTATTGTAGGTCTGGTGGTGGTCACAGTACTGGCTACTTTTAGGGTCGTTGAGTGGTGATGAAGGGTCAGTTGGCTTCATTCAAAACAGGACTGACTTTGTAGAGTTAGCAGAGAGACATTCGACTTTATGTCATTTAGACCCTTTTTTAATGTCACAGTATATGTCTGCTTGTTCTAGGTGCTTTCATGTAGGTACCAAATGCTAATTAGATATATGTTCAACATCCCTTGCTGTGACATTATAAATTTAAGGTTCATCGCATGAACCCACCTATTGATTCCTTCAAAGTTGATTAAGCATTGGACCACGCGACACTATGCTAGGGATAGATTTGGAGTAACGTGAGAGTTCACTGCCTCACTGCCTGGGAGCATGTGACCTCTTGACTGAGTGGAAAGACGGCTGCCTGAGGTTTAATGACTAGCCCCGACCGAGGGATTGAATTGAATGGGGCAGTGTCTTGTCCACCCACTTGAGGCTCAGCTTAAGCTAAACTACTCTGATATGTGGCGGTGGGCACATTGCCATTTAGACACCGACATTTCCTTCCTAGAAGCATGATTCGAAGAATGGATGCATGCACCTGCACCGCGAATGGAGTTCGGTGTTGCTAAAATTACGCTCGCTTGTGGGTTAGACAGGCACACGCTGGCCAAGCTAGAGCGCGGCTGTGGAGCTGCTGTGGAAATTCTATTGTGCTGCGCTGAGCTGAGATGAGCTGCTTACGCTGTTATTATTGTGTTGCAGTGCTCAGCAACGGTATTGTGTGAAATTGCCATTGCCCGAAAATGTTAGGAACAATATGCATGATGGCATGAGAGTAAATGAGATGAAATTTGAGGCATGGTTCTGCCGTTGCTGAAATTGTAGAGTGGGGAAACGGCGTCAGGGGAAATTGAGCTAACATATTGTAGTCAAAAGCTTTATTACTTCTGATTCATTGCGAGTTTGATCGTTGGCTATTTCGTTGCCAGCGGTTAACAGTGTATGGGGTAGATTGGGCGCGTAGTCATGAAAAGCTGGGTGGCAGGTGGGGAGACCGTTGAAGCTCAACCCTGCCAGGGCCCAGATCATGGTTTCCAGATCACATCCAATGGAGTAGGTACATACCAGTGACGTGCAGGTTGCCGCTCCACGGCTTCAGGAACGTAATGAGGTAGCTCGTGCCGGTGTTCAAGGCTCAATGGTAGGTCGTATTTGGGGACAAAATTGAATACGCACACAGTTGCGAGTGTTGGATGAGCAGCACAGAGTGGATAGCTTTCTAAGACATAGTGAGATAGTTGCGATTAGTCCCTTTGTTCTGTCTTGGGATCTTCTTTCTTAAATCTTAGCTTCACAATCAAACTTGGCAATAAAAAGCAAAGATTGCCGCAAGTAAGGGTGTGATTCTGTCAGGGCCATTCCTGATTTCCGGCGTAGAGACCCGTCTGATGAAGAAAGTACTGGGTATAGCATCAAATGCACCCCGACGATCAGCAACACTTTATCTATCTCGATCACTCAAGGCATCATTTCGAGCCTTCAGCCCAGCATCGCGATTCCACTTCTTGGACCCGACCGAGCTGTTTCAGAGGGCATAGACGGTGAATGTTTTGATTATCATCATCGTGGGAAAAAGGGGACTCGAGGATCGCCGGCCGGTCTGTGCTCGAGCTAGACGCCCCCTACTAATAATATCGAGAAAAAGCCATCAGTGCTAGGTTTCACCCCTGATTGACCAGAGCAGCGAGAAGAGAGAAAACAGCTTCACTTTCCTCTTTCTTTCTTGATTCCCTTCCCACCCCCAGTCGTTCCTTACTTTCCCCTCCCTTCTTCTGGAAGTTCAAGAAGAGTTGTTGCGTTGAGTGACATATTTGCCATCTGCGGGCCAGAGCCAGTCAACCGTCGAGGGCTTCCCTTTGGATTTGCAGCCGCCAGTGGCTCAGCCGCCTTGTCTCACCCGTCACTCTTTCGTCCTTCCCCCATTCTTTCTTTCTCACCTCATTCTCTCAACTGCTGCTTTTTTTTCTCTGCCTGCCTGCCTGCTACCTCTTCGTTTCCTTCTTATCCCCTCCTCCACCTTTTACCGTTTCACCTATATTTGCAGTCCCCGACTCTATTTACCCACGAAACTCTTAATCCTCCCTTTCTGCGGTAGTCGCAATTCATCGCCGTTCTCGTTTCCCGTACAACCCCGAAGCTACGTCCACCTGTCGGATTTACTCGCTGCGACCAGTGACCCACGCTGCATCACGACCTCTGTGTCTGAATTGACGGCTGTACGGACAATTCGATTTGAAAGTCTCAGAACTACAATAATTAAATCACCATGAGTGTATGTCGAACACCCAGAAACGTCATCATCCTGACCCTTGCCGTTACCCCACCCCTTATTACCCACCACTTGCGCATCGTCAAACAGTCTGCTAACTCGTCGATTCAAGTACGGTGAAAACCAAGGTGGCTACGGCCAGTACAACCCCTATGGCCAGCAAGATGCCAACCCCTACAGCGACGCCAATGCCATGGAGCAGGGCAACGGTAGCTATGGTAAGCGCATCACCTTCAGCCTGTCTGTCTGACCCGACCATGGCCTAACCCGCGATCGCACATCAGAAATGGGCTCTTACAACCAGCCGGCCGACGCGACGACGCTGCTGAACAAGTGCAGAGAGATCAACGACGGTATTGCCGATCTCCGCGCCAAGCGCGAGGGCCAGCTGGCCGCCGCTCAGAACGCTTTGCTCGACTCGAGTACCGGAAAGGAGGACCAGGTCGCTCGCCAGACTCTGGACTACATCGAGGATGAAGTGAACAACGGATTCCGTTACCTCCGCGATCTTCTGAAGAAGGTCAAGGAGACCCCCGGCTCCGGTGACAGCCGTGTGCAGACCCAGATCGACGTCACTAGCCGGAACCTCCGTCGCGAGATCGAACAGTACCAGAGATGCCAGTCCGACTTCCAGAAGCGCCTGAGGGAGCAGGTTCGCAGACGTTATGAGATCTCCAACCCCGAAGCTTCCCCCGAGGAGATCGAGCAGGGTGTAAACAATGTCTTGTTGGGCCAGGAGCAGAGCTTCCAGGTATGTTCTTTCGAGCGGGTTCAGCAAGTTCATGCTAACTTTCCGACTAGGTCACGGGTAGCCGGACTAGACAGGCCAATGACGCCAGGCAGGCTGCTTTGGAGCGATCGGCCGCCATTCGCAAGATCGAGCAGGATATGATGGAGCTTGGCCGCCTGTACCAGGAAGTGGCGGAGCTGGTCCACCAGCAGGAGCCTGCTGTGGAGCAGATCAACCAGGATGCAGACAATGTTGCGCAGAACGTTTCGAACGCGAACAACCAGATCACGGAAGCTATTGCCAGCGCTCGTCGGGCGAGAAAGTGGAAGTGGTATGCTCTGCTGGTCGTCAGTAAGTGTCCCGATGCGGTACCCGATTCATAGGCCAGGCTAACAGTATCTATAGTTCTCATCATCGCCATCGTCGTCGGTGTTGCCGTCGGTGTCACGGAAGCCAACAAGTCCTCGAAATAGAGCCCGTGAAATTCTATGGCATATGCAATATGCTATACTTGGCTTGATCTGATGACTCGACCTTGCGCTGATATAAATGCTTCGCCATGCCAATGCCCTTCATCTCTCCAGATACCCTCCGAGGTATTAACCTTGTCCTGCTTCTGTTCGCTTTCCGTTCAAGTTTACGCAAGGCTGTAACGACCTCTTATCGTTTGTGTACCTTGTTCTCGTCCGATGCTCTACGTCTTGTCTACGCTTACGGTAAGCCGAGCCAGTCGAGGATCGTTCGCTTGCTGTGATTCTTCCGTTGTTATACCACTTTGTCGTTTTGCCTTGTCTTGGTTGAAAAGCACCCACCTGCTGAATCGTCTCCTATGTCTGCTTGATCGCTCGTCGCTGTTTGTCTGTATCCACTGATCGGTCGTGTATAGTTTCTGCGTCTTGGGGCGTATGCGGCCTGATGAATTACTGTCGCTGCACGTTGGCTAGGATGCGCTTGATGCTATCGCAGTGTATATATTAGAGTCTCTTCGTTGCCCCTACCTTTGGCGCTAGAACATGTAATAATCCGACTACCTTAATAATAATAATATCCCTTGATGTATGTACGAACTGTATGCAGAACGCACTCGATCGACCGTATAATGCATTTATTCATGGGTATCGCAGATCAAGTCAAATGAAAGAACATCAACCTTTCCTGTATCAAGTATATGCTGTATGTTGTATCAAGCCTTCGCCGCCTTCCTCTCTTCCTCCCTTTGCTCCTCCTCCGGCGTCTTTGTCCGCAGCTGCAGCGCATGGATGCCACCCTCGCGACTCATCTCCTCCTTCAACAAACCATAGACCATACGATGGCGCGCAGGCTGGGGCTTCGACTGGAACGAGGGAGAGGTAATCGTCACACTAGACAAATATAAGTCAGACCAACACGTATCACGAGAAGATGGGTGTATTGACGAACTGGAAATGGGTCTCTTTCGAAGTCGATCCGCGCATGGCGTTATGATGTGCGTGCAGATGCGAATCATTGCGGATGACGAGGGTGGAGGGGGTGAAAGCGGTTGTAAGCTTTGAGCATTATTAGTTAGTATGAGAATGTATTATCTGATAGCATTATATGTAAGAGGGCATTGGACATACCTTCTCCCGAATGAGATCTTCGACGGGAGTTGCGGAGGTAGAAGCCATTCTGGTAGCAGTAAGGGAGAAGACGCGGCGGGGGAGGAAGCCGGAGAGGGAGGCGCGGGGGAGCATTGAGGGGGAAGCGGTAGTCCCGGTGGAAGATAAGGCGGGGAGGAGAGATATAATGCTGGGTAGTAGTAATTATTGAGATACGGAGGGGGTTTCGGGGTTTCTTGATGCTGAGCGATGAGAATCGGGAGACCGCAATTGGCCACGGAGTGGGCGGGTTACTGTTTTGGGAATGGTGCGGAGGTCGGGGGTTGTCCGTTGCTTCGTCACATTTAGATGCCTTTCAATACTCAATCATCACCCTGGCAGGCGTGTTATTCTTTCTTCCGGAAAGACAAGCATCGGCCAATCTGACTGGTTCCATGCAAAGCTATCACCATCCTTCCTAACCTTAACATGCTGCTTTCAATGCATCTCCAACCACCGATAGCCGGAGCAAAGCAAGTGCCGTTGCCGAGACCGCAAAGCTCCGATGCGCTTCCTCCCCAAATGACATCAGTTCCGTCGCGCAATCCGCCTTTATCTTTTGCCTTGGGTATCGATCAATCCATTGATTGACGTGGTTTACCTGCGCAACGGGGCAATTATAACCTCGAGATATCCTGACGGCTGCTGGGTCATGCCATACGGTTCCCACGCATCTCTTCAGTCATGTCCGGACGCACCTTGATGCCGCTCCTCTCCCGGGGCTCGATTGCTTCTCCGTCTCGTCAACATTCGCTCCACACCCTTCTAGCGTGGAGATGTGGTGCTCCTGCGAGTAGCTCCCGGTCTTTAGTGACACCTCTCGTTCGTCGATCGATCTCCTCCCTGCCGAATCTACCGCTCTTCCGCGCCCTCCAGGACCACGATCACTCAAACCTGGCGGTGGTTCATAGCGCGTCTGCTCGATCGTTCACATACGGGAATCTGGTTGCGGACGTGCTGCAAGCTAAAGACCGGCTGCTCCACTCTGCTGGGGGTGGAAAAGATGGCTTGTCTGGCGAGAGGGTCGCGTTTCTGGCTGAGAATAGCTACGACTACGTAGGTACTGTGACCATCTCATGTATAATGTTAATGGGATACTCGCTGACAAACTGTACTAGTGACGTTGCTCTCCATCCTCGCCAGCGATGCCATTGCCCTTCCGCTGTCTCCCGCCTTCCCCGTGGGCGAATTGAAGTATATCATGGATAACTCGCAGGCCAAGGTGCTGCTTGCAACGGAGAAGTACGCAGCGAAGGCCCAAGAACTCGTCAAGGCAGGACTAGACCGGGAGCCTATCTTGGATGTCAAGGAGAAGATCAAAGTGGGCGCAAACAACACGGGTTCAGTGTCATTGGAGGACATCGGAGTGGAATCGCGCGGTGGAATGATGCTCTACACATCCGGCACCACCAACAGACCCGTATGACCCTCCACACCTTCACAAATCTACAGGACTAACAACCCCCAGAAAGGCGTCCTCATCCCCCAATCCGCCCTAACAGCCCAAGCGGCCTCCCTCCTCCAAGCCTGGAACTACACCCCGCAAGACCGGCTCCTCCACCTCCTCCCCCTACACCACATCCACGGCACCGTCAACGCCATCGTGACGCCCATCCTGGCCGGCTCCTCCATCGAATTCATGTTCCCCTTCAACACCGATGCCGTCTGGACGCGCCTCGCCGCCCCATTCCTCCCCCAAACCTCATCCACACGCAGCAAAATCACCTTCCTCACAGCCGTGCCCACAATCTACAACCGCCTCCTAACCTCGTTCCCCAACCTCCCCACACCCACCCAAGAAGCCGCCCGACAGGCCATCTCCCCAGAGAACCTCCGCCTCAACATCTCCGGCTCCGCCGCCCTCCCCACCCCGACAAAAAAGGCCTGGTCCGACCTCAGCAACGGCAACGTCCTCCTCGAACGCTACGGCATGACGGAAGTCGGCATGGCCATCAGCTGCGGGCTCGACTTCACCGATCGCGTCGACGGCAGCGTCGGCTGGCCCCTACCCTCGGTAGAAGCCCGTCTCGTCGACACCGACACAAACGAAGTCATCAACCCGGGCGAAGAGCTCGACCCCACCACGGGTCGTGAACGCGAAGGCGAGATCCAGCTCCGCGGCCCCACCATCTTCAAAGAATACTGGGCGAACGACAAAGCCACGCAAGAATCCTTCGTCGCCGACGAAACAGACCCCAAAAGACCGTGGTTCAAAACCGGCGACGTCGCCGTCCGCAGACCCGTCCCCACCGCCGGCCACGGCACAAGCGGCGAATGGGCCCAAGGCCCAATGTACTTCATCCAGGGTCGTCGAAGCGTAGATATTATCAAGACGGGCGGAGAGAAGGTGAGTGCGTTGGAAGTCGAAAGGGAGTTGCTTTCGCTGTGAGTGCCCCTATCCCCATCCCCCCTAATACTCTTAACAACCATCAATTGATGTGATGGTAATCTCTGAAGTCCCCAAATCGCCGAAGCCGCCGTCGTAGGCCTCCCCTCGGAACAATGGGGCCAAAAGGTCGCCGCGATCGTGGTCCTCAGGCCCGAATATAGAAGTAAAGGAGGTGGGAAGAATGGTGATAAGCCCTGGGGTGCGTTGGATATGCGCAGGGCGTTGAAGGATCGCTTGGCCGGGTATAAGATGCCGCAGGAGATGAAGGTCCTGGAGGGGGTGATTCCTAGGAATGCGATGGGGAAGGGTGAGTTTTTCCTTCTTCCTTTTTTTCTTTTTTTTTTCTTTTCTTTTTCTTTCTTCAAGTTGGGGATGATTTTACTGACTGTGTGGGATCTAGTTAATAAGAAGACGCTGGTTAAGGAGGTTTTTGGGGTTTAGGTGTGGTATGTATGGTATGGGATAGATAGTATAGTAATGGAGTACATAGGGAGAAGGACTGTGTGTATGATAGGGTACTGGATATAGATGGATGAGAATGTATTAATTACTGGGAGGATAGTATGTATGGCTGAGGCCATTTCTCTGCTCATTGAGAGTGTATACGTAGACGCCCGCGTATAGCAGCAGGGATGCATGCTGAGTCCAGTCTACATGATGTGTATATTGCTTGATGTCAAGTTAATCCTTTATCTAATTACTATTGTTTACTAGGGGATACTCCAGATATTACTTGACAATTGACATGAATGTAGCAGTTGCAAAAATGAGGGAATTTAAAGCCAATCATCCATCTTCATGTAGATTGTTTGAAGTAATCCCCTGTAACTTAGATACCTCTCTATATGTGAAGTCCATGTAGAAAAAAATCGGTGAGCATACTATAGAGCCGTACTGGCAACATCTCAGCCTAACGTGGCATCTTTGTCCGAGTACAAACCAAGTAGGGTAAATTCCTGCGAGATTTCTTGCTAATCTTCTGAACTCATAGCAAACATCTTCATCACCAGTTGTTTGTACTCTCCACCGCTACTTACTGTTTACTAACCCTAGTTAGACCATAGCCACTCGGAAATCCCGACCATATCAACGGTGGCGGAATGGGCCGCCTGTTGGTGTGATTGCTGCAGGTATCCTGCATGAGACAATCTTCCCTTTTCCCTCAGTGACCGTCTCTTAAGGTGAGCCATGATATGATTGACTTGGGTCGTTGAGAGAAGAATTCTATAGCATAGTATGCTCTTTGCATAGAATGTACCGTCCACCATATGGAATACTGCAAGGCTTCGCTTCTTACTAATTCTCAACAGGCCTATGTGGATATCGGAGAATATGGCATACGTATGTGCGTCATAACATATTCCCGTGCATGTGGCTTATGTCACTAGTACTGATCCTGCTCGTAAATCATGCAGTCCTGAAGCAAACCTGCGTCGGATGTCCTGGACAGTATTCGGAGAATATGCGGTGGCGGCTACAGCGGATGTCCGCTACAATCAGGTCGGACGCAGGCCGAAACCCTAGAGTAATTGCAAATCTGATATTGGAGCGGTTTATAACACAGTTCCTGCATTCATATGGTCAGTTAGCTGCATAACCGTAACCTGTTGAGATCGGCCGGAAGATGGGCTGACACGCTGGATATAATCTTGCCGGTCCAGATCCAATGACACCGGTGCACAACTAGGCTGAAAGCTTATAGTCCTGGATGAAAGGTATTAATATAGCATGCCCCTCTTACAACAAAGCCTTTGTGTCAGTCAGACTATCAAAGTCTTAATCACAATTATGATCAGCTTACGAGGACTCACCTAGGCCCTAGCACAGCTGCAAGCCAGATGTCTGTTCGCTCAGCCACTTTCTGCTCAGTAGCACCCGAACATAGCAACGTATTCTCGACAAGTGGGTTACTCGAAATTGGGATCGTCGACGACTATTTGCTATTTCTGGTGACACTATTCCGACCCTGGTGATTTTCTGGCGCTAATTCGGTGTATCCAGATCCTCATTCGAGACTTGTGTTTAACCGGGATATAACGTAGCTAGTTTAGCCGCAGACTTTCAATGGAAGCAGAAAGCCACACGATAGGTACCTTCTGGACAACCGCCTATCGTAAACATGAGTCAGGTCTGGCTGAATGCGCCGAACTCCAACGAGTCAATGCAGTGGACGGACTTTCGTCCCAACTTGAAGGTCTGACGATGAGAGCCTTGACGTTGCTCGTCAAGGGGATTCGCAAGATGTGCATGCCTTCTGAGCAGGGACTGTTACTATATATGGGTAGCTGGCATCACTCCAAGCTACACCGATAAGAGGCAAGTTTCGATGAAAAATAAAGATAAACTGACGGTTTCTCATGATGTACACCCTTCTACCACTCTTGGTTGTCTTTTGTGTCTCTGCGAGAGCAATCTACCGTATCTACTTTCACCCCCTTAGCAAAATCCCAGGGCCCAAACTAGCAGCTGCCACTCACCTGCATGAATTCTACCACGATGTTATTCGTGGTGGAAAATTCATATGGGAAATCGAGAAGATACATAGAGCATACGGTATTCTACCGGACCACTGTTAATGCACCATACTGACAATAATTGAAGGCCCAATCGTGCGAATAAACCCGCGAGAAGTCCATATTGCTGACCCATCTATGTATGACGAGATCTATGCTGGGTGTAGCCGGAAACGTGAGAAGGATCCACGCATGGTATCATCATATGCATCATCATATGCGGCGCTAGCAACTGTCGATCATGATCTTCACCGTGCTCGTCGAGTTCCGCTGAATCCGTTCTTCTCGAAGAAGGCTGTACTTGAGCTCTCAGGTGTCGTTCAAGAGAAGGTGTCCCTTCTAGCATGGCACCTGGAACGGGTATATGCCGAGCAAGCGGTGTTCGCGTTAAGTACAGCCTTCACTGCACTTACGGGAGACATCATCACACACTATCTTTATGGCAAAGACAATGGGTATCTGAGAGAAAAGGACCTGGTGAAAAGAAACATTGTATGGGACATCTTGGCCAAGGG